GGAAAGAAGCCCTCAAACCCATAAACCAGTCATTCTCAAAGCTTGCTGCAGACAAACCAGATAGGAATCTTCAAAAAATATACCCATTTAATTTGTCTGGGACAGGATCCCAGCATCGGTATTTTCAAAAATCTCTGTAGATGAATCTGAAGCCAGGTTACTGCTCTAGTATGTGGAACTAAGAATTTAGCTGGAAATCAACTTACTGTTTGTTGCAGCCCCGGGCAAGTATTTTCATCACTGTTTTTTGATTGGCAGGTAATAAGTACTGGGCGGTTCAGGGGCAGAATATGCTACACGGGTACCCCAAGGACATCTATAGCTCCTTTGGCTTTCCTAGAACTGTGAAGCATATTGATGCTGCTGTTTCTGAAGAAGACACTGGAAAAACATACTTCTTTGTTGCTAACAAATATTGGAGGTAAAGACCGAGTGCAGAAAATGTTAGGACAGCACTTCCTTCTATGTAGAAAGCTCTAGACCAAACCATTTCAAAATGAGTCCCAAATTGTCTTGGCCAGCTGCCTTTTTGTGACTGGCTCTAGCCAATCTAGCATCGACCAATGAAGATCACACAATGCCTGAGCTGGGAATCCAAGGAGTGCATGTAGCTGAATTTCAAAAAGATGTAAAAATGAGGGCATTCCTCTTCACAGAGTTACTTTGGCCAAAAGGAACTTACCTTGCATAGCATTTTACCTTAATAGGGCATAGTGTGGAACCTACTGGAGAATTAGAACTAGATGCTGGATTTCAGAGGGGCCTTATAAATCTGCTAATTCATCCAGAATTCTATCTCATCTCATCCCACCCCCATTTTACAAATGAACTATAGAATTCAAAGTTCTTGTTAAATTTCTGCTTGTGAATTCCCTGTAATGATTTTGAGAAGTCTATATGTTTAGCAAAAGATTCTGACACTCCTGATTCTTTCTGGCCAGGTATGATGAATATAAACAATCCATGGATGAAGGTTATCCCAAAATGATAGCTCATGACTTTCCTGGAATTGGCCACAAAGTTGATGCTGTTTTCAAAAAAGATGGTAAGTGAATATGTATGTATTTTCTCCATTTTGTTGACATAGGAATCACATCAGTATTGTTATTTGGAACAGCAAATACCGAAAATGTCTGTGCTCACAAATGACTTGAGTTTCTCAAGACTTCAAATTAGACCTAAAAACTGTTTTTATAGTGTAGTAAGTCTCTTTTGTTTTATTTCTAGGATTTTTCTATTTCTTTCATCGAACAAGGCAATACAAATTTGAAGCTAAAACTAAGAGAATTTTGACTCTCCAGAAAGCTAATAGCTGGTTCAACTGCAGAAAAAAATGAACAACTGTTACAAAGTTCAATGAAAAAAACTTATTTCATGAGCCCAAGGAAGGTGTTTTCTTGAAGAGCCATATACTTTTCAGTATTTTATTTAACCTCTAAAATCACTGATACACAGAGCTATTAAGTATATAACCTTATTTATACCTCATTCTGCATATGTATTTTTTATTATTTGGAATGCAATGTTTTATGTACTGAAGTAATTTAGTTCCACAAATGATGGGTAAGGAAGGTCAAGTACACGGCTTCTGGATTTATATGGGCCCATGTTGCAAAAAGAGATCTTTTCCAGAGTATAAGACTCTGATATTGATCCCAGAGAGCAGCTCAGTGATGAACATCTCCTTTCAAGGAAGAAAGAGACAAGTGATGCAAGCCTCCACCAGAGGAAAGATGGTTCAAGAACACAAGAGTCACTAGTATCCTGTCATGCAAGGGACAAACTCTTCTTATATAAAATAAAGTGTTTTATGTTTGGAATAAAGTCATCCTTGTCTCTTCTGTTTTACAAACTTTCTATTATATGTACTATATTGTTATTTCCTGATAACAAAGCCACACTTACAGAGATTAATTTCCAAATTCGAAATGAGAAGTAGACAATATGTAAAATATTCATGTGGGAAATGAAGATATACAAAAAGTTCAAATATCCTCCATTCTTATGGAATTTATATCATATAGAAAGGGGAAAAAAACTATTTCCCTTGTCCCGTACCAGGATTCCAAAACTGGTTTTAGGTAAAATCGGTGAGAGCATGGTAGAGCTTTTTAGGCATATATCACTTTCTCTTCTTCTAAGCACATGGAAGGGCTACATTTTCCTACAGTCCAACTCCTTGCAGTTGCAGGGAGAGCAAGGGTGTTGGGCAGTGAGGCATCTGACTAGTTCTGGCCACTGGGTTGTGTGAAGAAGTGACAAATATCACTTCAAGGCTGAAACATCCGATTGGTTGCTGGTGCAGGTGTCCCCAGTGGTCTGCTCCCCTACTGTGGTGATTGTAGGAGCCTGGCATGAGAGGGTTGCCACAAGACAGAACAAACCTGAATTGCTGGACTAACACTCAACCAGCTACCCCACACCTCAGCACACATTCCTATAGAAGGAAATGAACTTTTACTGTGCTAAGCCGCTAAGATTTTAGATGTTGTTAATGTTGCATAATCTAATAGATCTAGATAAGCATTGTCTAGTTTATCATGACTAATTTGGGAGGAAGTTAATGTAGGTAGGAGTTCTGCAGGTCGCTGTGAGCACCATGAGTTCAATGAGTAGTTCAATGGTGCCCAACGGTGTTTGCTGCCTTTCTGAATACATGGTCTTGAGATATGTAGAGGAACTCGTGATTCTGAGGAAGGCAGTTTTCAACTCAAGAATCTGGAGAAGAAACGGAGCACTCCCGGGGTCCTGGGCAGGAGCTGAGGGGCAGCCCCTCCACCCAGAAGCAGGCAAGGAGCACGCTGAAAACACCACTTCCACGTGGGTGGCCCACCACAGCCACCGCCACAGCCACAGCTGCTGCAAAAGTGGCTCATTGCACAGCAGGAGTCACAGCCACAATGCAGGCAGCCTGCCAGACACACAACCAGTTACACAAGGAGAGTCACCAGTGGAGACCGGAAAAAGAAGAGTCTCTCCTCAAAGCCCACTGCCGCGTAATAGAAGAAGCAACTGCTCTACCACACTCCTGCTTTATTTCTGATTTCAGTAATTTTGGTCTTAGATAAAGTCTAGATAAAGGTTTGCAAATCTTGTTGATCTTTTTAAAGAATTAACTTTTGGTTTTGTTGATTTTCTCTATTGTGTTTTAATTCCCTATTTCATATATTTCTGTTGTAATCTTTTTTATTTCCTACTTGAATTTGCTTTTGGTTTAGTTTGCTCTTCTTTTTCTATTTTCTTAAGGTAGAAATTTACATTACTAATTTGAGGTTTTTCTTATTTTTAATATAGGCACTTACAAGTATAAGTTTTCCTCTAAGCACTGCATGAAAAAAAAATCTTTCAAAAACAAAAACAAAATAAAGATGTTTTCAGATATTCAAACTCTTATAATAAGAGTTTCCTCTGGCTTGCTCAGTGATCTCCCTCATCTTAAATTTCTATTTCCCATACATATTTAACATGCCAGAAGTTCATAGGTAAAAACCGATTTCACCACATGCAAAAAAATAATTGTGTGCAGTCTCCAATCAGTATCCATGGCTTGCACACTATGTGAGAATTTTGTGCTTCACAGCTCTAAGCAGACAAACTGAACATGCTTTAATCAGTTTTACTTTCAGAGGTCTTAAATCTCCTTTTTAAATTAGCATAATGGACAAATAATTTCTTCTATCTCTTCCTTGTCACCTGGAAGAGTTTATTAAATTGATTGCATTTATCTTGTTAAACAGGAACTTTCATTCCACCCTAACCCTGATTTGTTTTCATAGAGTTTGTAACTTAACATGATAGAAACACTTTAAAAATGCCCAGTTTTTGAACTTTTCAGTCTAAATTCTTTTGTGAACTAAACCAGTTTTCCTCACTAAGCAAGGCGGCGAGTCTATACAAAAACCTCCATGGAAAAGAATGTCAATTTATAAATCCTCTGACTTTCAAGTTTATGTAAACCTCTTAGTCTTTCTGTTTCCATCCAGCAATAAGATTGTTCCTCTTGAAGCAGAAAGAGTGGAATAAATTACTAAGAACAAAAAAAGAGAGAGAGAAAAGAAAATATGAAATGGAATATCTTAGAAATAAACAATTCATAAGTAAAAAAAAAAAAAAAGAATTTGGAGAATAATGAAACTTCCCCTTTGGCCAAGTTCCTGCCTCTCTTTAATATATATTTTCATATTGAAGCATAACAGAAAAGTACACAAATCATAAATGTTCACATCAACGAGTTATCACAAATTAACAAGCCCATGTCACTCTCACCCAGGTCAAGAAACAGAACATTCCCACACCAACACTGCTCAACTTCGTCTTAGGTTGGTTCACCAGCTGCAGAGCCTGAAACAGGGATTCTTTGGTGGGTCATTGGAGAAGGAATGCTCTCAGGAGAAGGGGAGTGAGGGAAACATTTGAGAGCAGAGAAAAGGTAAAGAACGTGGTCTCAGATGGACATTGTTCTGATCTCATGGGAAAACAATGGAGCAAAAATGGAACCAGTGAGTTAGTCCTACCCTGAGGCACAGCCTTCCCCAGTGTCAGTCAGTCATCAGCCAAGATCTGATTTGGGGTGGAGGGCATCGCTTCCCAGGCAAGATGCTCCCATTTGGCAAAGGAGTGGGGACAACTGTGAGTCATAAGCGGCCAACTCCTGCAGTAGCCAGGAAGGTGGGTGCCCTGGTGCTACAGGGGACCTGGGGAGGGCACAAGCAGCTGCCACTGTACATTCTCTATTTCCCAGAGGTAACCACTATGCTGACTTCCAACACCTTTGGTTAAATTTGCACCCATGTCACTCTCACCCAGGTCAAGAAACAGAACATTCCCACACCAACACTGCTCAACTTCATCTTAGGCTCTTCAGCTGCAGAGCCTGAAACAGGGATTCTTTGGTGGATCATTGGAGGAGGAATGCTCTCAGGAGAAGGGGAGTAAGGGAAACATTTGAGAGCAGAGAAAAGGTAAAGAATGTGGTCTCAGATGGACATTGTTCTGATCTCATGGGAAAACAATGGAGTAAAAATGGAACCAGTGAGTTAGTCCTACCCTGAGGCACAGCCTTCCCCAGTGTCAATCAGTCATCAGCCAAGATCTGATTTGGGGTGGAGGGCATAGCTTCCCAGGCAAGATGCTCCCATTTGGCAAAGGAGTGGGGACAACTGTGAGTCATAAGCAGCCAACTCCTGCAGTAGCCAGGAAGGTGGGTGCCCTGGTGCTACAGGGGACCTGGGGAGGGCACCAGCAGCAGCCACTGTACATTCTCTATTTCCCAGAGGTAACCACTATGCTGACTTCCAACACCTTTGGTTAAATTTGTCTGTTTGTGAACTAAATCGGATCAAGTTTGTATTCTCTTGTATCTGCCTTACCGTGTTCAACNTGTTTGTGAACTAAATCGGATCAAGTTTGTATTCTCTTGTATCTGCCTTACCGTGTTCAACATAATGTTTCTGAACTTAGTCCACTGTTGATAGGCTTGGGTTGGTACCTTGTGGGCTTTCATAAGTAACACTGCACATATGTAGGTAGTTCTGTTGGTTACATGCCTTAGAGAGCCATTGCCGAATCCTAGAGATTATCAGACGCCTCTTCAGGCTCTTCCTCAGCCTCCTCTGTCTTGTATTCCAGCCACAGCAGCAGTGACTAGCTCTGTACAGGTCCCAAACCAGCTTCTGGGGAAAGAGGAGTATTCAGATTTTACAAGGACAGTGGGAGACCAGATCTGAACTGTCACTGGTATCAAAGGTTCCAAAATAGCATTATGGTCTTCCATTTTAGAAAGGAGGTTTGTGAAAATAAGTGATAAGTAGGGTTTTGACTCATGGTCATCTCACAGTGGGTCCAATAGGTCCATAGACCATTCTGTAGTTTTTTTCCTTGGCTAAACTCTCCCTGTTCATTCTTTGACTTGTAGAGTAAGACC